AATTATTTTCTTTGTTTTTCGCAAAGTTGCCTCATTAAAAAGTTGCGCACGCGTGAATGCACGTGGATATAAGTAATAATACCTATGTGCACACCCTCAGGGTTCACTTAGTATGGGTGCAAAATTTAAAATTGCTAGAATCTTTTCTCTTGGAGCCTATAGTGATCACACATACACAGACACGAACGCGCGCACGTTCACATGTGCGTGTCTATCTGTCTGTGATTTCTATTTGTAATATCAGGAAACACTTCTTTTCTATGTGGTTTTATGCTAGCTTGTCTCATTAAAACATTGCGCATGCGCGAACACACGTGGATAGGATAAGTAATAATACCCAGGTGCACATCCTCAGGGTCTGCTTAGTATGAGTGCAAAATTTAAAGTTGCGAGGTTCTTTTCTCTTGGAGCTATGACACTCACACCTACACAGACACGCATGCATGCACATACACACACACACACACACATGCGTGTCTGGCTGTCTGTGATTTCTCTTCATAATATAAAGAACCACTTCTTTTCTATGTGGTTTTTTGATAACTTACCTCATTAAAAAAGATGCATGCACGCACACACGTGGATAATATAAGTAATAATACCCAAATGCACACCCTCATTGTTCACTTAGTACGGTTAAAAAATTTCAGGTTTCTATTTTCTTTCTTCTTGGAGCTTTGGTGGTCACATTTCTTTTCTAAGTGGTTTGTTTCTAGCTTGCCTCATAGAAAGACGCGCACGCACGTGGTTAAATAATAACACACAGGTGCTTACCTTACAAAAAAGCCCCGCAGTGGTATGTCTGTGGAATTACAACGCTATAAACCTGGTTTCGATACCCGTGGTGAACACAACACAAATAGCTCAATTTGTAGCTTTGTGCTTAACTTCAAAATAAACCTCACCAAAAGATGCGCACGCACGTGAATAAGTAATAATACCCAGGTGCACACCCTCAGGGTCCACTTAGTATATGTGCAAAATTTCAGAATTCTAGGTTTAGTTCTCTTGGAGTTATGGCGGCCACACACACACCCTTTTATTATTATAGATTAGTTTGCCAGGCCATGTTTTTTGTTCAGTTTGGTAGGTAAAACAAAATACGGAGTATATCCTGCAGGTTGTTTTGGCCGCACGACACTCTACAGTGTGTTTTGATGATTTGGTGAAAATAAGTCAAAGGTCAGTCTACATGATGATAACAAATTAGTTTATTTCTTTATTAACGTTTTTACGCTTTGTAACTTGTAGGACACGTTTACAAACGACGTTTCAATGTACTACACCAATGTAAAAAACAAAATTAATTATACAGCTTTCTAGGTTTACATTATTAAACTTTTCGATGTTACCGTCATCATCAAAACCTCCAGCTCCTTCTAACAAACAAACAAATTACAAAATTAAAATATAACTTACGACAATAGCACCATTAAAATCGTTTTTAATTTTGTTTCTAGGTAGTGTTGAGACATTGGCTGATTTCTCATTCTCGCCGAAATTCGATTCCTGTTGAAATAAAAAATAACCACGAAGACTATTTGCGCGATGATCAAGTTCAAGGTTTGTGCAGATAGCATTTGTTAAAAAGATTTATAATAATGCTTACTATCAACATTAATATAACTACAACTAACTTATTTCTTGAAATAGTATTTTTGTTTTTAAACATTATATTATAGCACTTATACTCATCTTCAACGTTCAAAATGGTTTTAGATGAAACGATTTGACAAATCCTTTCACACAATCATATAATGGTATTATTTGTTTTTGGTATTTTTTCCATAACCGTTATTCTGTGTATGTTTTGCATTTGCTTTTTAAAGTATTAAATACTTTAAGAAAATTTACATTTTATCAGTCTTTTGTTTTCCTTTGTCTTTATTTTAAGGTCACGCCATAACAATTGTTATTGTAACAAATGGATTATAGAAATAGTGTTCCGACCACTACTATGTTTGTTGCATCCCAGCCGACCTGAAGAACTCTGGGTTTAGTGAAACGTGTCGTCGGCAATAGATATAGCAAACATAATGTGATTTGAATGCTGTTGTTATACATTCTTTTAATTCTTGAAAATCCCTTAGGGACTAGATATAGAATGTTGTGTTTAAAAGTATTCTAATGTCTTATGATAAATATAATTAGTCATGCTTCGCCAGTTTGTGATAGGCGTTTACACCAACTGTTGTTGTGACAAAAAAACTTAAATATTCTAAAGAACGTCGTCTATTGAAGTTAGTGAACCTGAAAAAAAAGGACAATGATAGTAGGCTAAGCTGTACAGCTATATAATTACAAGGCTGAAATATATTGGTTATGTGATGCATAAAAATATTTTCCAAGTTTCCCCCCTCCCGAGTTACCCCTTTGAGAATCCTAAGGTTATATACCAGGTTTGGTGACAATCAGTCTAGCGGTTTGCCAATTATAAGCGAACACACGCACATACTTTCGTTAAATAATGATTTAGATTAATTTCCCTGAAAGTGGGCCGAAGATGGATGGGTCACATGTGTTAACCACTCGCACCACTATCCAGTAGTATGTTGTCTGTCTGTCATTCAATAGACACCGAAATGACGTCGCATAAGGGACGCTTAACGTTGCAATTTGTATACTGTCTTGACTTCAGTAAAACATGCTCGTGCCATGAATCACGAGAATAATTATACATTCTGTAGGCTACAACACAGCATGAAATGAAACCATCCAAACTTCTCTTGTCAATTAAACCCTTTCTACTATCGAATGTATTCAGCATGATACGCTGACCCCAACAGATCACTATACAATATAGTTTTACAAACAGTTTCTGGAAATGATAGACATGAGATTAGGATTCTTACAGTGGTCCAGTAAATCTGAGGTTTGACTCCAAACAAATTGCAATATAATTTATTTTAGTACGGTTCTTTTTGAAAAAACAGACCTTTTAACATATAAAAATCCCTAAAAATGCCCAGTGTTTGAACACATAAATGTTTTGATGAAATCATCTTTTTTAAGAAAAAATCGTAGGAAATTGGAAAATGCGTATAAAAGTTTTATTTGATAGTCCAATTTCTTCATTTAGGGCTCATTTGATTTGTTATGTAACGTGTAAAAGTTTTAGACTGCTCTTTGAGGTATACAAGCAGTTGTTTGGGGGCAATAGTTTAAAGTTATTGTAAAAGAACGTGAAGAACTGGATTTTTCATATATATTTAACAACCGGAACTAGTTATAGACAGTGTTTTTTTTTTTTAGTTTTTTATTTTGTTTAGTTTGTACATTGAATTTTAATGTTTCTACATGATTATGTTTTCAGAAGTTATCCCTTCTGGATAGTTTATTTTTAGTTTGTTTTCAAAGTAATCAAAATGAACAAATTTAGTCAATTGAATGTATTTTTCTGAGTTTTATTTCCTTTTACGACCTTAATACCACTCTGTTTGGGGTCGGCTGTCAGTTTTTATAAGCCAAGAATTTTTATACCCGTGTGGCTGGCCCAGTCGGCAACCATATAGGACAGGCATGTTTGGTGACGGGAATTCGAACTCAGGACCCTCCGAATAATTACCTAAGATTGAAAAAAAAATTTTATGGAATCTACATAGTGCTGTCCGTGCTTCAGTTATTATCATTATTTGATAAAGAGACAAACTGTAAATAAACATCATTAATAAAGTTAGTCTTCGAAATAATGTCTTAGAAAATTTGTAATTCCAATTTTTTTTCAAATGCTTATTTGCGATCTGACTACTTCTAGAGTTTCTGATGTTTTTGTGTTGTTTGTTTTTCATTAAGCAGTTACAATGAATACATGAATACATGTACCTCTCAATAATAGACAAGATACTGTCATGTTAAAAGAGAAAGGCACAGAGGGAATTAACCAAGCCGGTGCTGAACGAAATGACAGCATTTCTGTAGTATCTGACCACTGTGTAGCAAAGATATTAAAAAAAACGATAAATTAAACAACAAAGTATGGACGCTGAGCTACAACGAAAATCGTGTAACTTCGATATCGATTCGCCGCGAAGAGCTAATTACTTCATGCAGCAGAGAGATCTACAGAAGAAATGTTATCGCTCTTCTGGTATGAAATGTGTACCTATCCACCAGCTCTTTTCTGATTTTCCTGACCTTCTGAGGAAAGCAAACAAACCAGTACTAGCGGATGCTATTTGGAAAGTTATCAATTTATGATGCCATTTACAAAGTAGAATTCCAAAAATTTACTTTCCTGGCAACTGGGCTTAAATGTATTCAAACTAACTGTTTTGTTTTTAACGAAAGATGGGAAATTGCCTCCAGAGATGGAAAAAGAAAAGGGATTGATGGAAATAACGGAAGTGCATAAAGCTGCAGCAAGTGAAAGGTTAGAATTTACCATTATTGTATTGACATCAAAGAAGAGTTTATATTGGGAACTGACTTCATGCGGAAATATCGACGTGAGGTTAGACTAGCTACAATAGGTTTACAGTCTATGACCAAGAAATCTCTGTTCACTACATGACAATTACTACACCAGAGGTTTAAGCTTCCAGTGAAAACAATGCGGGTGGACATTGTACTACCAAGAAGTAAAATATTCATACCAGAAGTTATCAAGATTAAATCTACATCTTGTGACTGGAACGTAGTGAGACCAAACACTCCGGCATGACCTGATGGATTGATGGTTGGAAGAGCTTTCGTGGATCTGAAGAATATGGGTGTCATAGGTGACGTTATCTGGGAAAGACAGCTTGTGGTAAAATGAAAAGTCATCATGATCTTGATGCTGATAATACTGGATTTCATCGAGGTCCAGGTGCCACGGAAGTGAGTTTCTATTTTGTAAATTGCGCCACTTTACAATATACTAATTGTATTCGTACATTTATTCTAGTATATAAATGAACATCATGTGTCCTTCTTGGTCTCCTGAAAATGGTGGATCATGTTGTTTGCCGAAACACGTGAGGCATATTTTTTTAACCTTATACAAATAAATTTATTGTGCACATGGAACGTCAGTGTCGTAATTTTTATTTTTATTGAAATTATGCACAAGTGATGTCAGACTAATGTGTTGAAGTTTCTTCTTCAATCTTACTCCGGAGATGCAGTCCGCGACTGTTTTTCCTACTTGGAAAATCTCGAGACTTTTTCAGTAGTCTCAGGGCGACAATGCCCGACCTCAGCAAGTTAGGGATTACTTATATCCCATTAAGTAGCTTCAGTTGCAAAATTTGAAATCATTCGGAGTTCCAGGAACTGATTTTGTAACAGTCGGCATTTTCTTTTATCCAAAACAAACTTTGCGTCGTTACGTATTGTATGGTCAAGAAACCAGCTGAGCGTAATAGAGATGGTTGTGCTTCAGTTTATTATTGGGGTAGTGAAATTTTTTCCACTTCACTGTAAAAATCGCAAGTACAGAGCCTCTCAACAAGTTTAGTTTCAAGTAAATTTTCGCATATATATGACTGAGATAAAAACCTTGCGTTTCAAATTCTAGAAAGCATTACATTTTTCCTAAATTACTACAGTCTGCTTTGATCATATTTTTGATGATCTAAAAACAAGATAATGGGTTAAAACTGTGTAAATATGAGAACAAAATTAAGATAAATTAAATATGATGCAATAGATGCCAATACCAAATATTTCTGAATAGACAACAGTATTTCGTCGTAATAAAATTATACCTAACTATATTTTCTGTTTGTTTCATTTGTGGGAAAAGCTGACGTTTGGAACAGTAAAGAATGCTGGAATGAAAGAAAAAAGACTTAGCAATAGAAGGAGGAGATACAGATAGTGACGGCACACCACTGATTTCTGTTAATGCTGATGGTGGTTGGTTATTGTTTAGGTTTCCATCCACATTTCATGTAATTAGATTGCTTATTTTTTCTTAAGCGAGAGACTTTTCGTGTATTTTGCAGCTTGTAAATAAAATAATTGCCTGTGAATAGATCTTTACTTCTGTGTAGATGTAATACAACACAGGTAGTAAATATAAAAAAATCCCATACATTTAGAAAATCGCGAAGGTGTGAAGGTAATGAACTATATAGTTCTACTTGCATATGTTAAGAAATTGCTAAAACGTTTGCAAAATTGACAATATATTTTTTACAGATCACAAAAGAATATATCGTAATCTCTTCCTGTAATTAGACGTTTTAAGTAATGTCCAATTGCAGAAAGTGATTATAACTATAACAAAAATGTAGATGTAAATTCCTGGAAGTTTCGACAATCCATACATTTATGTTCTATTATTTTCAGCGCATATTATATATAGCTACAAGTCTGTCCTTTTTTTAGTTAAATAATCATGTTGTTATATTTAGTAACAACATCAAAAGTTATCAAAAACCGAAGGGATTGATACTTTCTTTTATTCCATCACAAGATTATAATGAACGGTTTCTTGTTCTCAAGATCAAATTAACCTACGCTGGTACAAATCTTGGTTATTCAACCTATCCTTAATCACTTTTTTTTAATGATATGTAAAAATGTTTGGGTGTATATATTGTATTAACACTTTACATTTATTTGTACATATCTGTTTATTTGTACATACCTGTTTTTGTAGATGAATTAGTAAGTGTTTATCGCAGAGTCACGCTCGACCATTTTTGCCAACTTCACAGTTTTGTTTTTTTTTTGTTTTTTTTCTTTCTAACAAATTCGTTTTATTTGCCACCTTATTTTATTTTATTTATTTATTTTTTGTAGATGAAGTACAAAGTATTTTTGGCAAAGCCATGCTCGACCATTCCATAAATCTTGCATCAGGTAATATAGATTACCTCGCGAGGCTACCCCAAAAAGTTCTTTTACGTATTTTAAGGTACCTGACTTTAAAAGAGAGAGCAGTGATGGCTCAGGTATCAAAACAGTTTCAAGAGGTAGTACTGTTTATGATTTATTTTTAAACTATGTAATATTTGATGAATATGGTGAAAAGCAATAATTATGCTGATAGGATATTTAATTTTATGTGAAACTTATAGATTTGATTCCTAGTATACAAATTTATCAAGAAAAAGTCTCGTCACCCAATGTAAAACCCATAATTATTCTGTGGATCAAAAGTAAAATTAAATAAAAATTGAACTTAGCATTCAAAGATAAATTTTACTTGTCATTTATCAATATACATTTCACTTGTAAAAGCATGTCGGATTATAATACATAATTTGTTTTTACTTAAAAGTATATATTTGCTTGTCTATAAAACAACTTTCATCTGGAATATATAAAAATTAAAATTATTTTACATTATAACATAATTACAATTGATTCAACTAAAGGTATTATAAGAAATATCTATCAGTTTGTTCGTGCAGATGAGTTGCGATCTTAGTGTTAGCGTTGAAAAAACATCAAGGACGTTTTAATGCCAGTTTTCTAATAGTTAAAAATTCTATACAAATTTATATACACGTATGTATACAGCTTAATATTTTATGTTATTCACAAATTAACTCTTGAAATGTTCTAACTACAATTAGAATTAAATACATGATTTAAAAACTGGAAGTGCAATTCTTAAAATACTTCAAGATTAGATTTTTTTTTCACTTTTGCTTAAAATTATCTCAAAAATATTATTCGTATGCATGCACTTGATTCTAGAAATGTAGGTTTCTTACTAATTTTCACAGATATGTAATGACGAAAGTCTTTGGGAAGAGGCATTTCGTCAATATTACAATGGTTCCGCAAATAATAATTTAAAGGAGGCCGGGTTGAGAAGCTGGAAGGAAATGTTTTTTGATTACAATTTACATCTTAATGTAAGTGTTAATTATTTAAAAAAAAAGGATAAATAGTACTTGATAAATTAATATGAATGAACTTGTTTATCTACAAGATTTTATTCGGTCAATGTGTACAAGTTGGTCACTTTCATAACTGTGGTTGGATAAATTGTTTCGGTAGTCACTAGAATCCTTTCCTATAGTTAGAAAAATCTGCATATTGAACATGCAAATAACATATAATTTTATTCCAGGGTACTCGTGAATGTGTGTGTAAGGTTTTGTCATCTTTGCTGTACTTCCGAACCTGAAAAAACACCAAGTCATTTATGCTGGCTGTCAAAATGTTTGACCATATAGTTTCCATTAAACCATTAAAATGTATATTCAAACAAGACTTTGACTTCGCATCACTTTGTTAGTTTGTTTTAGAGCAAAGCCACATTGGGCTATCTGCTATGTCTACCGCGGGGAATTGAACTTCGGATTTTAGCGCTGTAAGTCCGTAAACTTACCGCTGGGCCATCAGGGAACACATCATTTCGTAAATCCATCGGAAGCCACCTAATTTTCAGTACCTTCTAACTGCCTATTCACCATTTAATAACACGTGCGCATCACTTTGTTAGTTTGTTTTAGAGCAAAGCCACATTGGGCTATCTGCTATGTCCACCGCGCGGAATTGAACTTCGGATTTTAGCGCTGTAAGTCCGTAAACTTACCGCTGGCCCATCAGGGGACACATCATTTCGTAAATCCATCGGAAGTCACCTAATTTTCCAGCACCCTCTACCTGCCTATGGATAAAACTAATTGCTTCTTCTATATTTGCGTATTTTTTTAGTTTCTGGGAAATGAATATAAATATTGAATGCTTATCTTGTAATCGTGTATTATGAATAATACAAAAACAGTATCTATATGTATCTCTAAAAGCAAAATAATACTTATCAATTGCCCATACATGATTGCAAAGTTAGCCATCTCACTGGCACGAATTAATAACTGGCGAGAAATTATTATTGCTGTAAAAAGAAAGAAAGAAAGTAATTTTTTGTTTAATATTTCCAAAGTACACATAGATGCTACTATAGAAATTCGCTCATAAATGCTATTAACTTTAGTTTAACAAAAGCGATTAATGTGAAAAATAGTAAATGTAATTCGTATTTTTATTTATGATTGATACGTATATGTTTGTTCTATTACGTTTTTCAACAGTATTTCATAATAGTAGTAATATAAAACACTTTAAAATTTATTCACTATTTGACAAAAGTGAAAAATAACACTCATTAGCTAATTTTACTATATTGTTTCAGCTGGCTGTTAAACTTATTTGTAATTCTGATTTTTTCTCTTTTTATTACAGTACCAGTCAAAGAAAACAACGTAGTTTGTCTTCCTACCAACTGCGAGTCTTTATATCTTTTTTTATTTCCATTCTATTTCATCTTATGATCGTATCAGTAGAGTCAGAGATACGAACTTGTTATATTGTATTTCGATCATTTTTAGCAATAAAATTACGTATACGTAAACTGCATTCTTGAAACACGTTGTTTTGTAATTCGTTTAAAAGAATCTTCTACTAATTTATCAAGAAAATAAT